CTGGGGCCGGGAAGGGCGGGACGCTCGACGGGGCGGGAGCTGCGCGGTCCTGCCCGTCGCGGGGTGCCCCACAGGTCACCCCGCTTTGCTCGGCCAGGGAGCCGGTCCTGCAAGCGCAGTCGCTCTGGGGATTGCAGGGCACGAACTGCAAAAAAAGGGAAAATAACATGGGACTATTTCTAACTGCAGTCACGCATACGCGAGCTGCCACGCACGTCACCCGCCCTGCGTGGCCAGGGTTGGAAAATCAGGCCCTGGGCGGATGCTAAAAAACGGGGGCAAAAAACTAGCTCAGGTTTCACCCATAAAGTTCAACGGAAGACGATGGTGATCACCTGCCTGCGCAGGAAGCAGCGGGATTACGGAATTACAGGGATTAGGTGAGCGTGGGCCAACGGGTGGGAGCACCCGGCTCCGGCTGCAATGGGACGGGGGGGTTTCCGCAGCCCCCAAGCAAAACCATCCATGTCATTTTAGCAAGGACACAGGGCTGCCTGTCCCCACCGCGCTGCCGGGAACGACCACGCGCGGCCTCAGCAGGCATCAGATTTAACCTTGATCATGTTCGGGACAGAGGTAAGAAAGCACACAGAGAGCCTGCATTTTTTTTTTTGGTATTTTTTTACTGGCGATTATCCTCTAAGAAAACAAGCAAACCTTGGTTTTTACAAACGTCTTACAGGAACATGCAAAACTTTCATAAAATAGGAGCTTCAGGGTGGGGAAAGAAGTGGAAGGACAGGGTTTCAACGGTACAAGGAAACACTTTGATAAAAGCATTTTTTGTGTGTAGAGTTCATAAAATTAACGTTTTCTAGTAAAACCACTTTATTTTTTTTTTACCTTAAAAATGATTTTCCGGGTTGCTGGCACTTCCAGCTCTTGAAGGATCGCGGTAGGTTTTATGTCTATGAAGTGACTCAACCACGGAGAGCCTCACCGCAGCACAACAGCAACAACGAAGCTCATCGGGCTCTTTCTTTCTTGCTTGTTTTTATACACTGCTGGGTGCTTAAAAGGAAAAGCTCCCCCTTACCAGCCCCGAAACACGGCCTCAGGAGCGAGCGTGAGCCCGGCCCTGCGGCACGGAGCTTCCCACCTTTCCAGCGTTGCCGGATTTTCCAAACCCCGAGCGTCAGCTACTGGTGTTGGCTCATGGAGCCTCTCCCCTTGCTTATTCAATGCATTAATCCGGTTTCGTATGGCTGTGCCAAATCCTTATCTTGGAAGTCACAGCCAAACTTGCCTCCCCTGCTCCGTTTTAAAATCAGGCTGTTAGGTTGGAAATCAGGAAATTTAACAACATATAAATGGCGTTATTCATTATTTGGTCTGTTTGGATTTGGTTCTTAACAATATTTCTTAACTTCCACTAGTTTTCTAGCTTTTCTCCGCAACCTTCGTATCCCGCTGCTGCAAGCGCGCCCAGCTAGAGCTAAGAAACCCAGTTTTGCCAAAAAGCAACGGAACAAACGCGATGTCCAAGGGGTATCGCGGTGCCGGGGCTCGTCCCAGCGGCGCAGAACCGGGTTCACGGGGGACACCGCAGAGAGGTGCAGCCGAGCGGGGAGGCCCCGCTGCAGCGCGGCCGCGCGAGGCCGTCGTTTCCCTCATGGCCGTTGCGCTGTTTGCGGAGGCCGCGACGCTGCAGACGCCACGGGGAGAAGCGGGTGGCTCCAACAGCCCCCAACCACGTCCAGGCCCTGCGTGGGGAGTCCCCCCCCGGGCGGGTGCGAGAAAAGGAACGGCGGCGGCGCCGCTTCCCGGCACGGCCACGCGGCCGCTACCGACCACGGGCCTCGCATGGGCTTGGCGGGAGAAATCGGAGCGTCACAACTGGGCTCTGGAAAAGCCCGGGCCTTGCGCAGGTTTCTAGAGTTAGTCGAATCGCAGTAAAAAGTGCGTTTGGTGAGTACGAACACGGGCACGGGGAGGGAAGCCTCTCCACACGTCACACCACCCCTTCCCGAATTATCGGATTAAATAAAGCCGACGCGCAGCAACAAAAGTCAAAGCATGCTTTGCTAAGAGGCACGTTTCCTCATCATTTTACAGAGTTGTTGTTTTTTTTTTTTTTTTTTCCTCTTAAACATCTTAAACATCCGTGTTAAAGACACAGCCGAACCACACTTCAGGAAAGGATACACATCAAGACAACTGCTATATGATAAATATATTAAAAAAAAGGGGAAGTTACCCCACTCGCAGCAAAAGCCATCAAAACTAAAACATGGCAAAGTCTGTTTTACCTTTCTTTTTTGGCTTACTGATTTCTCAAGATTTCTATATAGAGATTGAAGCTCGGTTTCACATTACAAGGACACAAATGCATTTCTACATCTACAGTAACTCAGACTGCAATGGAGAAAATCTTAACATTCATTAAACAACGATGCACTGTCCAGCAGGAAAAGATGGAGCAGAAGCACTCACTTTTCCACATCTGCTGATTGGGAGGAACACTGTGGACTTCCCAGAAAATCCTGGAGGTCCTCCCTCTTGCCTTCCACCCCAGTGCTGCTCTCGCAAAACTTGAATGAAATATTCGTTTCCTGCCGCTTTAGTCACACGCCGGTAAAAATTGATTTTCCCTGCTGAGTGTCAAAGCGGTCGCTGCTTTCCTTTATTCTTCTGCTTTCTGCATTCACATTATTGATGCCAGTGGGAAAGGACACGGCTTAGGGAACGTGTTTGTTATTTAACTGTTGCAGATCTCGACGGGAGAACGGGGTAAGAAGCTTCTTGCCTCTTTTCTTCTCTGTGTAACGCCAACATGCTGGCTTTTAAAAAATCGCTGTGAAAAATTTGGTGGATTTTTTTTTAAAAAAAAGCAAAGCAAGAAAGAGAGCTAATTAGGTTCCTGCATATTTCAGAGAGTCTAATGATTTTAAGGGAGATCAAGTGCTGGTCCTGTAACGGCGGTAGCATCTCCATGGCAAGAGACTCACTTGTCTGGAGAACAAGGACGGATCAAGGATATTTGCTGTGTAGGCCATTTTTCACCTGCTTCAATGGAAATGGAGGAAAAATGAAGCTTCAATTTCCTTGAAATCCTTCTGCAAATGCAGGTTCTCTCTGCAGCCTTAACGTCAGACTGGCTTGCTATTGCCTGGGTTAAATGGGCTGTAGAAACTCAATGCACTTATAAAGGTCCCTTTCAAAGGGGATATTTCACAGTAAGGTTATG